CCGCTGCCCAGGCCGATGGCGGCGGGGGCCGCGGCGGGGCCCCCCCGGCGCTGGGAGCCGCGGCCCGGCCCGGAGCGGGGAGCGGGCCCGGCCCGGCCGTAGCGGAGCGCGGAGCGGCGGCGGTGAGTGCGGCCGGGGAGGGCGGCGGGTGGCCCTGGGCCCTGGGTGTCCCCCCCCGTGTCCCCGCAGGTGCGGATCCCCTCCCGCCGGCGGATCCCCGGAATAGGGAGCCCACCGCCGAAAGGGACCCCCCCCCGCCCCGAGAAAGAGACACCCCCAGAGATGGACGCCCACCCCCCCCAGGGAAAAGGGGACCCCCCGATACGGACACCCCTCAGCACCCCCCCCCATCCCCGAGGGAAGGACGCCCCCGGCAGGGACACCCCATCCCCGAGGGAAACGGGCACCCCCCGGCAGGGACACCCCACTCTCGAGGGATGGGGGCGACCCCCCAACAGAGCCCCCCCATCTCCGCGGGCAGCAGTCCCAGCCCCACCCGAGGTGAGGGGTCCCTCCCCAACACGGACACCCCTTCTGAGGGTGGGGGACACCCCAGGGGAAGGACCCCCCTCACAGGGTCTGGGGGGTGGCAGTGGGGGTCACTGAGCCCCACCCCGGGAGGGGGTGACCCCTCTGCTGTGACATCACTGGCTCTTTTGTCCCCACCCCAGGTCAGGGACGGCCCCAGGTGCAGCCCCCACCCCGTGGCTGAGTGCTGGGGAACAATCCCCCAGTTCCCCCACCTGGGGGGTGCAGCCCCTCAGGGTTGAACCCCAAGGGTAAAGGGGGCCCCTGGCACTGCCATCCCTCGGGGTGTCACCTGCTGCCAGCGTGGGGACACCGGGGTGAGGACACCCACCATGACTGAGCAGCTTTGAGGGCGAGGTTGGGATGTCCCCGCTCTGCCACAGCCCCACCGGGAGATGGGCATGGGTGACAAGGGACTCGTTAACCTGGGGGGGCAGAGGGGACACGGGATGAGGGGACATGGAGTGGGAGATATGGAGAATGGGGACACATGGTGGAGGGACATGAGGTGAGGGGGACATGGGCTATGGGAGGGACACACGGGTGGAGGGACATGAGGTGAGGGGGACATGGGCTGTGGGAGGGACACACGGGTGGAGGGACATGAGGTGAGGGGGACATGGGCTGTGGGAGGGACACACGGGTGGAGGGACATGAGGTGAGGGGGACATGGGCTGTGGGAGGGACACACGGGTGGAGGGATGTGGAGTGGGGGGTGCTGCAGGTCCTGGCAGGGATCAGGCAGGTCCCAGAGGGAGGGTGGTGGCAGCGGTGACTGTTCTGCCCATGGGTATTATGTGGGGGAAACTGAGGCACCGAGGGGTCACCGAGGTTGGTGGGTGGTCTAGGGGGCTTTGGGGGGATTCCTTCCCCGTAATAGCCCTCGTTGTTCCCCCACAGGAGGTTTGCCATGGCCGACCCCAGCCACATCCAGTCAGCCGCCTCCAAGAGCATCCGCCCCTTCCGCTCCAGCGAGGAGTACCTGGAGGCCATGAAGGAGGACCTGGCCGAGTGGTTCAACACCCTCTACGACCTGGACATCCAGGTGGACACTTTCCTGGAGAGCCTGGAGACGGGATGTCACCTCTGCCGCCACGCCAACAACGTCAACCGCACTGCCCTGGACTTCCAGGAGCGGCACCCGGAGGCGGCCGCCCGCATGCGAGTGCCCCAGAACGAGGTGGTGTTCCAGGCCAAGAACGTGGTGCCCGGCTCCTTCATCGCCCGGGACAACGTCTCCAACTTCATCCAGTGGTGCCGGCAGGACCTGGGCATCCAGGACGTGCTCATGTTCGAGACCAACGACTTGGTGCTGAAGAAGAATGAGAAGAACTTTGTCCTCTGCCTGCTGGAGGTGGCCAGGAGGGGCTCCAAGTTTGGGATGCTGGCCCCCATGCTGATCCAAATGGAGGAGGAGATTGAGGAGGAGATGAGGGACCAAATGGCCGACGGCACGCTGGGCACGGGCCGGGAGAGCCGGGACCCCCAGGCGGGCGCCTTCCCCAGCCGGGCCCGGCCCATCACGCTCTGCGACCTCAAGAACCTGGACGAGCTGGTGAGACACGCGCTCCCCTGGGAGCCCTGTGCCTGGGTGAGGGCCTGGCCGGCCACCCAGCACCCTGGGCACCATGAGGGCCTCGCTGGCCACGCAGCGGGCGCTCGGTGGCCTGTGGGAGGTCCTGTCCGTCCACCGGGGAGCTCTGTGGTTCATGGGAGGTCCTCTCTGTCCATCCAGTGGTCACTAGGAGGTCTCACCTGTCTATGGCCTGTGGGAGAACCTCTCCAATGTCTGGGGGGGGTCCCACCCATCTCTGTGGCCCCCTCCCACCCATCTCTGTGGCCCCTGAGAGCTCCTGGCCGTGTGCCCCATGAGGTGCTCCATGATCCATGGGAGTTCCCACCTCTCCACCCTGCGGGGCGTTCTGTGGTCTCTGGCAGGTCCCACCTGTCCCTGTGACCCCCGGGATGTCCTTTCTGCCCACCCAGGGCACTCCGTGGCCCAAGGGAAGTCCCACCTATCCCTGTGAGCCCTGGGACGCCCTTCTGCCCACCCCTGTGGTCCATAGGATGTGCTCCACCCACCCATCCCAGCTCTCCATGGCTACGGGAGCTCCTCTCCACCCACCCACCCACCCACCCAGGCTCCCTCCTGACTGCAGGAGGAGTTATTTCGGTGGCTGTGGGGACGCAGGTGTCACCTGTGCCCTGCCACCTCCTCCCCGTGAGGGGGTGACTCGCAGTGCTCCCCACCCCAGGACTTCTCCTCCTCCCACCACGTCGAGGCTGCTGTCCCCAAGGACGGACATGGGGACATCCGGGCTGCTCACAGTCACAATTTGGGGTGTCAGAAGGGGAGGGGGGACAGGGACCCCCCCCCCGGGCCAGGAGCTCAGGACGGATTAAAGCCGGGTGCGGGATCCGTCCCGCAGGCGAGGCAGCGGATTAATCTGGGACGGGGGAGACACGGGGGGGGACAGGGGGGCTCTGCCCTCCCCTGACTCCCTAAGCCTTTTTTTAATTGAAACCCCAATTCCTCATTAAGTCCCTCATTAAAGAGCGTCCTGACCCCTCCCTCCGCCCAGTGCCGCTTCAGGGGGGCCCCCCCGGGGCTGTTGCACCCCAAGCCCCCCTGGCCGGGCGCTGCCAGCCCCGGCTGCATTTTTCCGGGCTGCGTAATTCCTCGCCATCGGCTTTTATGGGCAGCGCCAGAGGCGGGGAGGAGCCTGGCAGAGCAGGATCCGGCCCCCCTCGTCCCCAGGTGCCCCTCCCGGGGTGGCAGCAGGGTCACGACCCCCTCTCACTGTAGCCCCCCACCCTCCCTCCGTGACTCAGTTTCCCCATCTGAGCTGTCTCTGTCACCCGGATGAGAACCGCCGCGGCCACATCCTTCCTTCCTCTCAGCCCTGTGATGGGCACAGCTGCAGGAAAACCCCCAAAATCTCGGAATGATTAAAGAAACCCCAAATCTCGGGGTGAGGTGGCGCTGTGTCCCCCCCAGCCCCGGGCCGGGCCAGGATGCAGCCGCGTCCCCGCGTCCCCTCCCGTGGCTCCCGGTTTAATCCCTGACGTCAGCCCGGGAGACAGAGCCGGCAGCTGGCAGCCAGCGGGACCACGGCACTGCCCGGCCACCCCACAGCCCTGCGGGTCCCCTGCCCGGCCCCCCAAATCCTCCCGCTCCACTTTTCCCTGTGCCACACCTTCAGGTTTAGAGAGAGGCAAAATCCCCCGGGATTTACCCCATTTCTATTGATGGATGTAGGTCCTGCCCCATGGTGGGGATTTGGGGGCGAATCCCCCGTGGTTCAGGATTAGTGGGGTGGGGGATGTTTTGTGCCCACACCTGGGGGTTCCGGAGTGGGTGGACCCCAAATGAAGAGAGTTGTGCCCATTCTCAGCCTGCTGGGGGTCCATGGGAAAAGACCCCGGCCCCCTGCACCCCAGCCCACCGAGCTGCTTCCCTCGGAGGGAGGGAGCTGCCAGCATGGGGGGCACACAGAGCCCCTCCGTGTGTGCCAATCTGAGGGGCTGCCCCAATAATTGGGATCCACACCGACCCTATAGGGGGATTTTGCCCTACCGGCCCTATAGTGGAGGATCCATGACCAGACAGCCCTATAGTAGGGGGTTTTGTGCCCACCAGCCCCATAGAGGAGGGTCCATGCCTCACCAGCCCTATAAGGAGATTTATGCTCACTGACCCTATAGTGGGGCATCTGTGCCCACTTGCCCTATAATGACGAGTCTGTGCCCCACTGACCCTATAATGGGGTCAGCAGCCCTATAACTGGGGGGTCTGCACCCCACCGGCCCTTTAGCAGGAGGTCTGTACCTACCGATCCTATAACAGGGGGTCTGTGCCCCACCGACCCTATAGGGGGGTTCTATGCCCACTGGCCCCATAGGGAGGTTCTGGACCCCACCGACCCTACAGCAGGGTGTCCACGCCCCACTGACCCCTCCCCTCTGTGCCGGCAGGTGCGGGAGATCCTGGGCTGCTGCTCCTGCCCCTCGCAATTCCCCATGGTCAAGGTCTCGGAGGGGAAGTACAAAGTGGGAGACTCCAACACGCTCATCTTCGTCCGAGTAAGAGCCACCACCGCCCCCTCACCCCATTCCTTGTCCCCTCCCACCCCATTGTCCCCAGTTGCACCGGCACCCTCCACCCTAATCCTCCCCCTGCTCCCAGGCAAGGTGGGTGGGGTCCGGAGCTGGATTTCCTGCCCACGCCGGGGTCCTGGGGGGCTCTGGGTGGTTTTTGGGGCCGGCACGGTGACAGCGCTGCCCGCAGGTGCTGAGGAGCCACGTCATGGTGCGTGTGGGCGGCGGCTGGGACACACTGGAACATTACCTGGACAAGCACGACCCGTGTCGCTGTGCTGCCCTCTGTGAGTGTCTGCGGGACCCCCACCCCCCGCGCCCCACACCTCGGCACGGCCCTGCCTCCTGGATCTCTGTGGGGTTCTGTTCCCGGATTCTCCATGGGGCTCCATTCCCTGGTTCTCTGTGGGGCCCCTTTCCCTGGTTCTCTATAGGGTTTTGTTCCCTGATTTTCCATGGGGCTCCATTCCCTGGCTCTCCACAAGGAACCCTACAGAAACAGGGCTCTGTTCTGTACAACTCCATTCCCTGATTTTCCGTGGGGTTCTATTCCCTGTTTCCCCATGGGTTCCATTCTCTGGTTCTCTATAGGGCTCCTTTCCCTGGTTCTCTGTGGGGTTTTGTTCCCTGATTTTCCATGGGGCTCCATTCCCTGGCTCTCCTTGGGACTCTCTTGCTGGTTTTCCATGGGTCTCTATTCCCTGGTTCTCCACAGGGCTCTGTTCTGTAGGGATCCATTTCCTGATTTTCTGTGGGGTTCTGTTCCCTGTTTCTCCATGGGTTCCATTCCCTGATTTTCTGTGGGGTTCTATTCCCTGTTTCCCCATGGGTTCCATTCTCTGGTTCTCTATAGGGCTCCTTTCCCTGGTTCTCTGTGGGGTTTAGTTCCCTGATTTTCCATGGGGCTCCATTCCCTGGCTCTCCACAGGGCTCTGTTCTATAGGGATCCATTCCCTGATTTTCTGTGGGGTTCTGTTCCCTGTTTCCCCATGGGTTCCATTCTCTGATTCTCCGTGGGGCCTCACTCCCTGGTTCCCCATGGGGCTCCATCCTCCGCCTCTCTATAGGGTTCCATTCCCTGATTTTCCATGCATTTCGTTCCCTGGTTCTCCAATGGTTCCATCCCCTGGTTTCCTGTGAGTCTCCCTTCCTTGGGGCTGGGTTCCTCAGGGCACCGATCCTGCTGGAAGGGGGGAAAAAGGGAGTGAGAAAACTCGGGCTTTTCCCCAAATTCCCGAGATCCGGGAATACCCCAGTCAGAAAATCGGGATGCTGTGAGGGCAGGGGGGTGCTGAGCGCTGCTCCCGCTGACCTCTCCCCCTTCTCCCTTCCAGCTCACCGCCTGCCCCAGCCCCGCACCCCGGGCATGTCCCCCCAAAAAGCCGCTCCCGGCACCTCCTCGTCCCGCGCCTCCAGCCCCAGCACCCCCCGGCGCCCCCGGCCCGCCGGGCCCCTCCCGGGGGGAACGGAACGGGAGCGGGGCCCGCAGCCCCGGGGGGACCCCCCGAGACCCCTCAGGCAGGAGGGATTGCCCCCCCGGGGGGGTGCAGCCCCCCGCTCCGGCTCCGGCAGCCCCTCCCGGAGCCCCGCGGAGCCGCGGGGAGCGCTCAGGTACGGGGGGATTGGGGGGACCCCAAAACTGCGCCGAGACCCCAGCGAGGGCTCAGCCCCACAGAGGGGACGGGGGAATGGTGGGGGGCACGGGGGGCGTTAGTGGGGAAAACAATGGGGGGCAATGGGGGTGCAGCGAGGGGAATGGGGGACATTGGGGGCAATAGGGGGACAGTGGGAGGTATTGGGGTGGAATGGGGACATTGGGGGGGCAGTAGGGGAACAATGGGAGGTACAGGAGTGGAATGGGGGTGGAATGAGGGGAATGGGGGGACAAGGAGAGGTACTGGGGCGAAATGGGGACATTGGGGGCAGTGGGGGGACAGTGGGAGGTACTGGGGTGGAATGAGGGGAATGGGGGACATTGGGGGATGCAATGGGGAGCACTGGGGAAATCATGGGGGGCAGTTTGAGAGTGAAATGGGGGTGCACTGGAGGGTGCAATAACGGGGCTCAGTGGGGGCTGCAATGGGGAAATCATTGGGGAAAATGGGACAATGAGCAGTTCTGAGGGGTCCATGGAGGGATGCAATGAAGGGGCAGTAGGGGCGAATTCGGGGTGAAATGGTGCAGTGGGAAAGAATGGTGCAGGGAATAGTGGGGGGCAACAGGGGGAGGGAAGGGATGCTACAAGGGGGGAAATGGGGTATGCAGTGGGGGGATGTGGGATTTCATGGGGTTCAATGGAGGAGGGCAGTGGGGCTTCACTGGGGTGCATTGGGGGAACAAGGGGGAATTGGGGATGGAATGAAGGGGCAATAGGGAGGAGAATGGGAAGATTCAATGGGGATTTAATGGAGAGGGGAAATGGGGGACAGTGGGGAGGGAAGTGGGGTTCTGGGGGGTGCAGTGAGGAGGAATGGGCGGTGAAAGGCAAGAATGGGGGTTCAGTGGGAGGGTTTGATGGAGGGCAAGGGGAAGAGAAATGGGGTCCAGCAGTGGGAATGCAGGTGCAATGAGGATGGAAATGGGGTTTAAGGGGGAATGTGGGGTACAGTGGGAGAGCAATGAGGAGAAACGGGGATAAAGGGGGATGAATGAACGGATGCAATGGGGAGAGAAATGGGGTGCAATGGAGGGAATGTGGGGAGCCATGGGGGAGAATGGGGAGGGTTCGGTGGGGAGGGGTGCAACCCCAGTTTGGGGGAACTGGGGGGGGGTCCACGAGGAGGGGGGCACTGGGGACACCAACGGGGGGGTTCTTGGGGGCTGTACAATTGGGGGGTGCCCCGGGGGGGTCACCAGGGTTCTCATTTTCCCCCCTGTCCCCCCGCCGTCCCCAGGCCGCGCGCCCCCGCGCGCTCCCGGCGCTGTTCGGGTGACAGCGACTCCTCCTCGGTCACCTCCGCTCAGAGCGGCCCCCGCCGCCCCCCGGGACCCCGCCGGGACCCCGCGGACCCTCCCGGGCCGGGGTCCCCCCGCGCCTCCCGCAGCCCCGGGCGCGGCCCCGCGCCGCTGCTGCTCATCCGCCGCCGGCCCGACGGGCAGCACTCGTGGGCACGGGCAGAGCCCCCCACGGCCGGGACCGGCCCCGCGGGGACCCCCGGGCCACGGCGCGACTCCCGGCCCGGCCCCGGGGACCCCGAGGAGCTGGCGCGGAGGCTGCGGGCCCCGCGCTGGCTGGAGCCCGGGCAGGAGCAGCGGCTGTTCCAGCGGCTGGAGGAGGAATTCCTGGCCAACACGCGGCTGCTGGAGCAGCTGGGGGACACGGAGAGCCCCCCCCCCGCGCCCCCCGCCACCGCTGACTCGGCCTATTGCTCCTCCTCATCCTCGTCCTCCTCCCTGAACGTGTTCGCCAAGCACGGGCTGCCCGCCGAGGACGGGCGGCGGGGCGGGAATAGCGATGGCAACAACAACGGCAACAACAACGGGAACAATAACGGGAACAACGGCGGGTGCCCCCCCCTGCCCTCCAACCCCACCCTGGCAGATGCCCGGCGCCGCTCCACCTTCTCCAGCTCCTCCGACGAGAGCTGCTGCTTCCCGGCCTCCTGGGACAACCGGGAGACACCGGGGAACCCCGGCTCCGACACCGACTGGGCGATCGGGGAGGACGAGCTGATGGAGATGGAGGAGAGCCCCGGGCCGCGACTTCCCGCGCCCCCAGCGCGGCCCTGGGCCAAGCCCCGGCTGGACACTCAGCCCCACAAGGCGCCCTCCCGGATCCCCACGCCCCGGGGCTACGGGGCAGGCGCCCAGCGGGCCCCGAACGGCAGCCCCAAGGCCTGGGAGGCTCTGCAGAGCATCCCCTCCTCCCTCCTGGAGCCTCCCTGGGCCCCCCGGGAGCGCGAGGGGCTGGAGGAGAACGCGTGGCCCTGAGAGGTCGATGGCCATGGCAGCCCCTGGGGACATCCCCGAGCTGCTGCGGGAGGGTGGAGGTGGCAACTGGGTGGAGACACCCGGCCAGGCGATGGCCACAGAGCTGGGGTGGCCAGGACCTCTGCACTTGGTGACAGCTGGCAATTGGGTGTCCCCATGCCACGGGGAGCAGCTTCATGTGGTGGAGGTCAGGGCAGTGGTAGAGCAGAGCTGGCACCTGGGAATGGGGCTGGAGAGCACCCAGTGCTTTTCTTGCTCTCTTCGTGTCTCCTCATTCTTCTCCATTTGTTTTCCTCATCTTGACCTTCTCCTCCTCTTCTTGCTATTCTTGTCATCCTCTTCCTCATCTCCTCTTGGGCAGCTTTCTCCTGTCTTCTCCTCTCCTCCTCTTGGCCTTCATGCCATTTTCTCTCATCATCTCTCCTCCCTGCAGTTTGTCACCACAGCCCCTATTTCAGGGCAGAGGGGGGGGTCACTCTTCCCTCTCCAGCCCCCAGCCAGCCACAGCACTGCCCACAGCTCGTGTTGATGTCCCTGGGGTGTGACAGGGCTGTGCGCCCAGCCCAGGCCACCGCGCCACCCCCCTGCAGCCCTGCATGTCCTCTCCAGCCAGTAAAGACCAACGGAGCTGAGCCCACCATGTCTGCTCATCTGTCCAGGGGTATTCAGACCCCCAGGCCCAAAGGAGGAGGGCTCCAGGGGTCCCAGGAGGGGGGGAGCAGTGCAGAGCTGGGGTGAGGCTGAGTCCCAGTGTCCTGTACCCCATTACAGCCACTGGGACCCCTCCAGAGGTGTCTCTGGAACCCAAAGTGCCCCATGGCCAGGCCAGGGCCCTTCACTTCAGGGCTGCTGGCCCAGGGGGACACAGCCACGCTCTGAGGGCTGGGCAGGTTGTGGGGCACCATGAGGCTCCAGACCTGCTGGTGGTGACCACCCTGCTGTCATTTTGGGGGTTCCAAAGCAGAGTGTGCACTCTGGGCCCTGGACACCTGCCCTGCCTCTCCTCTGGGAGTAGGGCTGGTGTCCAGCCCCAGAGAGGTGCTGGTGGCCTGTGGGGTGTCCCAGAGTAGTGCCAGTGATTTGTGGGGTGTCCATCCTTGCCAGGGACTCTCACCTACCCCACAAGAACAAGCAGCAGATCCTGGGGATCCCACATTTGTCCCCCACCCCAGGACCCAGACTGGACACCATGTAGGGGTGCAGGCCGACCTTGGCCTTGGTGGATCGCTGAGAGGCTCCAGGAGCAGAGTCAGGAGCTCTCCAGGCCCATCCTGTCCCCATATCCCTGGCCCACAGGCCCAGCCCTGATCATCTGCTGTGTCAGACCTTGTTGTGCCAGAGGCCACGGGGCCACTGGCCCCAGCAAAGGCTTATCTGGCCCTGCAGTGCTGGCAGGAAGCTCCCAGGATCCTGCTTCCCTCGGGGTCACGGGGCCATGGCCACCCTGGCAGCGTCCCCATGAGCTGGTGTCACCTTTATTCAACATTCCCTTCAAACCAGTGAACATTACAATATATTTATCTTTCATATATTAGAGATTTCCTGCTTCGAGGGAGGGGGGGACCCATGGCTTGATTTGGAGGGGAAAAGAGCAGTGGGACCCCCAAGGGAGCACCCAGGGGTGCTGGGGGGGAGCAGAGGGAGCCGTGGGGCTGGGCAGGGGGAGAGGGGATGCTCAGAGCCCTTTCTAACCTGCAGGTTAAGTACAGCCTCAAATTTGGGATCCTCGAGCCCTTCTGGGAGCTTTGGGAAGGGCTCCCATGGGAAGGGCTCTGTGAAGGGCTCACCCACGGCTCTGCTGAACCAGGGAACAAAAATCAGGGAGAGGTAGAGAGGGGGAAGAAGCCAAAGCTATTTCCCACCTGCTCCAGCCCCAAATCCCAGGGGCTCCAGGGGGATCTGCAGCCAGAGCCACCTAATCCCACAGCACTCTGGGCCCCCCAGCCACAATTCCCAGGGTTTGGAATGCTGAACCCACCACCAGACACCACTCCAGGAGAGGCAGGACCAGCAGCTGGGGTTTTTGGGAAGTGGGAGAGCAGCTCCCCACCCCAGCTCCCAGCCAGAGGGCGAAACTGGTGTCTGGAGGGAGCAACACCAGCGAGGAGGACACGGCCTCACTCACCCAGGGATTGCTCCAGGGATGAGGGACTGGGGACAGCCCCCCCACCCCCTCCACTCCCCCCAGGCCTGCCAGGACAGGAGAATCCCAGGGGCTGGGTCCTGGGCAGGAAGGAAAGGGGACATGCACACGGATCCGGCCCTGCTTCCTCGGGCGGGAAAGGGAGGAGAGGAGGAGGAGGAGGAGGGGCTGCAGCAGCACCTCAGTTCTTCAGGATGGTCTCGTAGGCCTGGAAGATGTACTGGGACACCTCTGGTGCTCGGCATTTCAGGGATAACTGTGGGGAGAGAGGGAAGAGCGGGGTCATGGAATCCCACCCCATACTGGAGAGCCACCAGCCCCAAAGCAGAGCCCTGCATGCTGCAGCACCTTCCTACAGGGCAGTCCAGCTCCTGATTTCAGCTGGAAAAATGTTATTAAACCCCTGCAAGCCCTCCCAGGGCAGAGCCATCCACATGCAGCACAGGCAGGAAACAGGCAGGGGCAACACTCCAGCTTTGGGATTGGACTCAGTGAAGGGTTGCCCAAAAACATCCTCCTCTCCAAAGAGGAACAAGCCCCTTCAGATGTTTGCTTAAATATTAAATAATTTCAAAATCAATTAACTCCTCAAGCAGGGAAAGTTAACGGAGAATCCTCTGGGATAAGGATTTGCAGCTATCCTCATCCCCAGTGAAACCAGGAGGGCAGTGGGGACACCCCAACCCTCTGAAACATCCCCCTCCTTGTGCCAGCCCTGCTGGGAAGGAGAGGCAGGAGGCACCAGGAGACTGGAAGGGCAGGGAAAAACATCGGGGGAAGGAAGAATATCCAGGCAGCAGCCAGAGAGAGCCCAAAGCCAGGGAAAAACCAGTGTCTAACCTCCAAATCCTGCAAGAACGGGCAGGCCGGCGAGGGCGGGCAGCAGGGACGGAGACACAGAGAGAGGAGTCAGGGTGACACAGCCCCAAAGAGAACAGGCTGCCAGGGAGGGAGGGAGGGGACAGGGAAAGCAGGACATTGGGATGGCTCATGGATGAGGTGTGGATAGACCCCTGCTCAGGGAATGCCCCGAGGACAAGGTTTAATGGAGCTGGATTGGCTGGGACCCCTGTGTCTCTCTGACAGGAGAGGGACAGCAGGGCTGGCACCAGCACCAACATGGACGTGTCCCCAGCTCGGGGCAGGGAAGGCAGGGAGCAGGGAGGGGAGGGGATGTACCATGAAGCTGGGATTGCTGGGCTGGATCCGGAGCTCTGCCAGCACCCAGATGCCGTTGGTGAGCTTCAGGGACTGGTAGAGCATGTCCTGGCCCTCCACGTTCCTCTTGGCAATGGTGAAGATGTTGCTGCCTTGGAGTTTGCTGCTCACAGCGTCTGGGATGGGAGAGAGAAGCTGAGGGGCTGGGCTGACCTCCTGCTTCCCTCGGACCTGCTCCTGCCCTATCTCCTCCCCTCCTTGTCATGGAAGAGGTTTAGATTGGGTATTGGGAAATTTCTTCATGGAAAGGGCAGTCAGGATGGCACAGCTGCCCAGGGCAGTGCTGGAGTTGCCATCCCTGGAGGGATTTAACAGTGGATGTGGCATTTGGGGACAGGGTTAGTTAAGCATGATTTGAGCCAGGTCCTTCTGAGGGGGTGGGACCCACCTGCATTGAGGGAACAGTCTTTGATCTGGAACTGGGTCTCGTTCTCATTGGGAATGTCCTTCCAGGTGGCCAGGAACATCTGCCTCTCTGCATGGAGGGAAGACACCAGCACTGAGGGAGCTGCCAGACTGGCCACCCCCAGAGGTGACACAGTACAGGTGACACGGCAGTGAAGGTGTGTCACCCCACCACCCCCTCCAGCAGCTCCCCAGGGCCAGGCTCAGACCAGCCACCTGCTTTAGGGGGCCCACCCAGTGTGACAAAGAAAGTTCCAGGGGCTGGGATGGCACCTAGAGCCAGGTGACAGGACACACCTCGCTGGAACCTTGGTCACCCAACTCACCCATCTTGCCATCCTCCACAAACAGGATGTGCAGGGGGTACAGGGTGCTGAAGTAGAAGACGTCAATGTTGTTCTTCACTGCCACCTGGGGTGGAAGGACACTTGGATTTCAACACCTCCAACCCACAGCAGGTTCCCAAAATGTCCCATCCCCATCATCCCCATCCCCATCCTCATCATCCTCATCCCCATCCCACCCCATCCCATCCCCATTCCCATCCTCATCATCCCCATCATATCCCCATACCATCCCCATCACATCCCCATCATCCCCATCCTCATTCCCATCCTCATCATCCTCATCCCCATCCCTCAGGTGTCACTGCTCCTGCTGTCACACCTCCCTCTCAGGATTTCTCCAAGGCCCCCTGCCCCACGCCCAGCTCCCCAGGAGGGGACACCCCCACATTCCCCACCTGCAGGTTGTTGAGGGGGTCCATCTTCATGACAGAGCCCACGGTGTTCAGGGGCAGGGAGATCTCCACGGACTGGTTGGGAGCCAGAGGTGCATGCACCTGCAGAGGAGCTGCTGGGGCCAGGCCGAAGCTGGGGGACACCAGGGAGGGGACAGCAGGTGACACAACAATAATACACATTCCTAAAGACAACCAAATCATAAACCCTCTCTACTAATTACCCACGAAAAAGCCCCATTTCCACTAAAACCCTAAACAAACAAATAAAAAAATCACTCATACAATAACCCTTAACCCAATCAAAACAAAACCAAATATAAAAAATATACTGTACCACCAAAGCCCATAATCTATTCTTAAACCTTTAACAAAAAATACCTAATAAAACTCAAAATCAACCACTAAAATTTTAAAATTAAAATTACAAAAAATCTAAAACCAACTACATTCCTACAAAAAAACCCCAAACTTAACCACCTACAAAAAATTCAAACCACCTCAAAAATAATCAACACTAAAACACAACTCCTCTTAACACCCCAACTACCAATACTAAAATAAATATTCAAAACAAAAATTCCCTCTAACCACCACACCACCAACATCACATAAAACAAATAAATTATCCTCACCACACAACACACCCATAATAAAAAACTAGGCCACCCTAAAATTTTAAAAATAGTTATAAAATAACCCCAAAATAAAATCTTGAATCTCACTAACAAAAAAAAAAAAAACAAAACAAACAAGACCAAACCAAATAACACATAGTAAAAAAAAACCCACCATACAACCAACTACCAAAAAATACCCTTCCAACCTTGGCACTCCCTGCCTTCCTCCACCAGCATCCCGCAGTGACCTTGCTGCCCCTGCACTGTCCAAGCTGGGGCTGGTTCCTGCCCTGCAAACTCTGGACCACCCCCAGAATCTCCCCCCTTCCTCCTACACCCATTTGTAGCATTCCTGCAGCATTTCCTCCATGCCTTTGAGGGATAAGGAAGCATCAGTTCCCCAGGACAAACAAGAGGATACAGTCAGATCCCTGAGGAACAGCCTCTTCAGCCAACTTCTTAGAGGCTTTGTTTTGATGCTCATCACCACCACAGCCATCAGAGAGAGAAGAGTCATCACCAGAGGCTGCTCCCAGCCCTTGCAGCTCCTTCCTCACACCCTTTTCCCCACAGAACTGCTGCAGCAGTGTCCCCACGGCTCCCAGGACACCCCAGGCCAGGTGAGACTCACCTGTTGCGGTTGAACTGGATGGCAAAGTCAGACATGACCTGCAGGGCTTTGTTGGTCAGCACCAGGTCCATGGAGATGGAGCCCACCTGGCGGCTGAAGGTGCCAGAGATCTCCAGCCCCTTGGCTTTCATGGCAGGGAGCCACACCTGGGCCAGGGAGACAAGAAACCCCTGGGGTGTCACCCAAAACAGAGCCTCTGGTGCTCCCCCACCTCCTCTGCTGGGGAGGGGCACGGGGGTCTGTGCCCCCCTGAACCCCGAGCTTGGCTGCCCCACTCACCGTTTTGGGGGCCACGTAGGATCCTGAGAGGGTCCCCACCCCACCAGTGAGGTCGAAGAGGTCACCCAGGCCGCTGCCAAGGGGTGCCCCCACGGTTGTGGGGGCTGTGGTGCTGGGAGCTGCTGTGAAGCTGCTGCCACCGCCACCCATCTGTGGGGACAAGGGAGGGGTTACGGGGGGCACCACGGGGAGGGGGACAGGAGGAGGAAGAGGAGGATGAGGAGAGGATGCAGAGAATGAGAGGGTTTGGGTGTGAGGGCACACTCACAGCAGGGCTGCCTCCCACATCACTGCGCAGCTGCAAGAGAAGAAAGGGGCATCAGCAGGGGAAGGGCTGAGGGCACAGGGGTCCCCAAAATGTCCCCTCTGGACACTCCCTGGGAGCAGCAGTGTGAGGCAGCAAGGGCCTGGAGTCAGGATGCTCCAGTGGTCCCAGACCAGGAGCTGAGGGGCCATGGCTGTCCCCAGAGGGGAGCGAGGTTTCACTGGGGCTTGGGGGGCAGCAGGGGCAGCCAGGGGTGGGCACGGGGCTGGGCACAGGGTGATCCATACCCCTTCCGACTCGTCCCCCATCTCCAAGCAGAAGCAGGCAAGGTGGAGAGAAGAGCCAGCCACATGCAGAGAGAAGCCAGGAGAGAAGAGACAAAAAGAGAGAGACAAGAGAAGGGGAGGAGGGGACAGAGGTTAGTCCTGACACATCTGTCTGTCTGTCCATGGCTGTCCTGGAGCCAGAGGACAGAGCCAGACCTCATTCCCAGCCTCAGTGCCAGCCCATCATCAATCCCTGTGAGCCACAAGGCGCCAGGGCAGCACTTGCTGGGTTACAAAACAGGAAAGGCAGCGGCACTCCCTCCCCTTAGGATAAATCTGCTGGATTTCATGAGTCATGGAGGAAACTCCAAACTCTGCTCCTTCAGGGAGCCTGGCCCATCTCCAGCACCCACAGGGCAGGTGTTCCCACACAGGGAGAGGTTTCCATCCCACCCCACCCCGAGGCCAAACCACTGCTTGGGCTGCATTCCCAGGAGGACACGCTGTGACCTCTGAATCTCCTGGCACACGGGACACCCCACAAAGTGCCCCACAGGCTGGGAGTGGGAACATCCTGGCCCAGCCCTGCAGCAGTTTGGGGGTCAGAGAGGGGCCCCCAAGAGCAGCCACTCTTGCAGCACAGCACACGGAGTGGGAATATCCTCACCAACCAAGAGAAAAGGCACTGGGAAGTGGGGGGTGGGACCCCTCCATGGATAAATTAGGGTGCAGTGCCCTCTGTCCTCACCCACTGCAGGAAAGGACCAGCCCAAATGTCCCCAGACTGACAATCTGTCCTATCCCAGGACAGCCCAGACCAGAGCCAGCATGCCAACGGGATAGCCTGGAACCAGGGAAGGAGCACGGGAGCTGGGACGTACCAGGGTGTCCAAGCCACCCCCGAGGAGGTCCACAGCACCCATCTGCACGGAGGAGGTGGCCATGGGTGGCCCGCTCACTGGGGGGCCCAGGTCCAGGTTGAGCAGGTCCCCCAGCAGGTCCCCCTGGGTGGGGATCACCGAGGGCTGATCCGCGGCCGGCCCCCCCGACGGGGCTGTGTCCGGGCTCTCAACACTCTCAACCCTGAAGGGAATGACACAGGGAAGACGGGAGAGGGTAAGGAACTCCAGCTGGGACAGGATGTGCCACTGCAGACAGGAGTTGGCCCAGCTGGACCCTCCATCCCATCCTGGCTCCCAACACTTCAATGGCAAGCAAGACCCCCCCATGCCATCCTGGCTCCCAACACATTCCCACAGACATCACCTTCCACTGGGATCCCTCCTTCAGCTTTTTAAGGACAGGGTTGAACCCGCACACCCCTGCTCCCCCTTGGGAATGAGGGCTCAGCTCTGAGCCCAGTGGCCTCACAGCTGCTCAGCTCCACATCCAACCCCTCCATCCACAGCCCTGGATGTCCCAGCATGGGGAGGGGACACGGGAACACTCACGAGCCCGTCCGTGGGGGCAAACTCTTGTGCACGACGCCCCTGCTGCCCTCCACGAAGGCGCTGGGGGGTTTGTGGTACACCGAGGCCAGGGTCCCGATGTAGCAGATGAGCTCATCCAGCAGCGTGGGCTCGATCAGATCCGTCTCCTCCGAGATCAGCGGCTTCTCTGCCAGCACCACCTCCTTGGCGGCCACGGGGTCCGTGGACAGCAGGCGCCAGTAGATGTACCCACGGTCCCGCAGGTCGGGGTTGTCCGAGTCCTTTGGGAAGCCATTGGGAAGCTGCAGCTACTACAGAGCTACCACGGAGCTGCTTGGAGCAACTGCAGCTACTACACATCTACTCAGAGCTGATTTTCCCATCTAAACCTTGCTGGGAGGCATCACAGGATCAGAGGCCACAAGGCACCTCCTGAGCCATGGGTGTGTTCACACCCTCTAGGCTTTCAACTGTCAGCATTCCCAAAGGGATTTGGGACAGGGGATGGAGGGACAGGACACAGGGGACTGTTTCCTACTGCCAGAGAGATGGGATATTGGGAAGGAATTGTTCCCTGGCAGGGTGGGCAGGCCCTGGCACAGGGTGCCCAAAGACGCTGTGGCTGCCCCTGGATCCCTGGCAGTGTCCAAGGCAAGGCTGGATGGGGCTTGGAGTAACCTGGGAAATTGGAATGTGTCCCTGCAGGCTGGAACAAGAGGATCCCTCCCAACCCAAGCCATTCTGAATTAAGCTCCAATTACCTGCCTGCTGTCACATGACCAAGCCATTCCAACAGCCCCGGGGGACGGGAAGCTCTGGGAAGCTCTCCCAGGTGTTACCCACCTGTGTGGCCAAGCTCAGCACCTGCTGCACCAACTCCTGTGTCTCCGTGGGCTTCTTCAGGAACAGCTTCACAATGGCCGTCAGCAGCTGCAGCTGGACCTATGGGGGACAGACAGGAGGAGGGACAGACAGACAGACAGGTCACACTGGCTTTGTGCAGGAACACATGGATTTGCCCCAGGACCTAACCCCAGCCTGCCTTTCAAGAGACCAAAGGCATGGGGACCATGTCAGTGGCAGTGACATGTCAGGACACCTCACCTGTCCCCTCTCCAGCCCACTTCCACACCCCTAGACACAGGCTGACCCCAACACCATGGGGCAGGATCTCCAGAGCAAGTTACACGGTCCCATAGGGCACTGGCTAGAGCATCCTTTGATTTCCACATGGATGAACAGCAGGAATTCCTCTGTGAGGGTCCCTCCCAACCTCTCAGGGAGCCTGGATCTCTGGCTTTGCTATTTAGCATTTGTAGACTTTGCCCTGTTCACCGTCACTTGGTTACAGGGTGTTTTGCATGGTTTCCCAGAGATGGAAACCCTCCAAAATTCCACAGGCAAACCCATTGGCCTCAGTTGCCCTGGGAGACAGGGCAGGCACTGCTCCCTCTGCTCGTTTTCCAGCTCCAAAGGGATCCTGTGCTGGCACAGGGGGATAACCAGGTGACTTCTAACCATGGAATTGAGACTTGGAAACGAAATTGGGAAAAGGCACTTGGGACAACGTGATGGTGGCATATCACAGAACCATGGAACAGCTTGGGCTGCAAGGGACCTCAAATCCCATCTCATTCCCCCTATTGCCGTGGGCAGGAACATCTTACACTGTTCCAGGTTCCTCCAAGCCCGGATCACATCCTATACCCAAACCTGCCATGGGGCACGGCTGCTCCAAATATCTGCACAAGCAATCCCTTCAGTGAAAACTGTCCCCCACTTAGCAGGAGCTGTGTCAGTGTCACCCTGAGGCAGCAGCTCCCCTGGCACACCTGGGTGCTCTCATCATGGAAGCCCTCCAGGAAGCTCTCCAGCAGCTCATCGGCGTTGTCGATGCGCTCGGCGTATTCCCCCACGATCCAGATCATGGCAGCCCTGGCCTCGGGCTCATCCAGGGAATCCAGGTTCTCACAGAGCGTGGCAATCACGCTCTCGTACCTGCCCCAGGACACGACAGAAAGCTGGAAAGAGCTCATCAAGAGCAGGAGACCTGAATCCTGATCCACCCAAACTCCAAACCACATCCCACTGCCCACAGCACAACCGTGGGCAACAATTCCAAGGAGATTTTCCTGAATTAACCCTGCTTGTCTGATCCGCTCCTGTCCGGAGCCACTGGCCATTCCCGCAGAGCTCTGCTCGTTACCAATTCACCTCATTAGTATTTATTACCACTATTAGTCCCCGACTTCCTGATTAGAGTTGCCTATTCATCCTGGCTCAGCTGGAACATTCCCTCCCCTCCCCTCTCCTCCTGCTGCCCTTGTTCCAGCATCAGGAGCTGGATTGAGAGCCAGGGACAGTTTCTGCTGACGCAAGGGACCTGCACATCCCTGGCAGCTCCTCTCCATTTGAGTGCCTGGATCTGGGACTGCCACCAGGGACTGATCCTGGGGCTGGGGACAAAAAAACCCAAAGCCACCTGTGCTGGAGCTCCAGGGGCTTCATCCCACCAAGAGTTTGTGGTTCCCTGAGCACAGAGGGGAGGGAAGAGCTCATGCAGGACCCAGAGAATCCCAGAGAATCCCACTCACTTGTTGGGGTACTTGCGGAAAATGTCCTTGATGACCACGATGGCCTCCTGCACCACGTAGTTGACCTTGGTCTGGATGAGGTCCAGCAGGGTGCTGACACAGCGCTCTGCAGATTGCTGCCAGAGGGACTCAGTCACACAGGGACAGTCCTGGGCAGTGACCCCTCACATCCCCATCCCAAACCTCTCATTCCCCCTTATCCACCCCAAATCTGCAGCAGAATGGGAGATACTGAGTGTGGTCTCCCCTTCACATCCTGGTGTGGCTCCTCCTTCCTCATCCTCTCTGCACATTCCTCTCTTCCCATGGGAAGCATTCCAACTGTGCAGAGCCACCTTTCCAGGGAGGTTTTCAATAATCCCCTTTGAAAAATTATCCCCACAGGGAAGCAAAGCCTCCGAGCAACCCCTCAGGAAGGGATGGATTCCCTTCCAGCCCCTTGGGAAAGGACTGGCTCCTTGCCAGCCTCTTGGGACCTTCCCAGCCCCCCAGGAAGGGATCAGCTCCCTCCCAGCCCCCAGAAAGCAATCAGTTCCCTCCCAGCCTCCCGGGAAGGGATCAGCTCGTCCCAAGCCTCCCAGGAAGGGATCAGCCCCCTCGCAGTCCCACTCTGGTCCCCAACAAGCCACTGGTATCATCCACTGCATTCAGAACTCTTGGTCCTGTTTTAGGTCAAGAGGGATCCAGTGGCAAAAGGATAAGGGGATGGAATGAATACCCTCCTGGCCACCCCACTGATCCCTGTGGAACAACCATGGCTCATCCCCACACCTGGGAAGGCTCCAACTTGCAAATTCCTGGGACGAGATGCCCACCATGTGGTGGGAAGTGCCACCCTGCCCAGCCACAGGTGCCACAAGGCCTCAGTGTGTCCCAGCCCTCACCTCCACCTTGATGGCACAGCGGCCGATGGCTCTCACTGCCTTCCTGACAAAATCCACATCCACCTCCGTGGCGTATTCCTTCAGCTCTGCCAGCACCTGAGGGATGGCACAGCACAGTGAGAGCCTGGCAGCAAGGCCAAGGCACCAGGAGAGCAGGGCAGGGACCCCACGAGCAGGCTGGGTGGCACAGCTGCTCCTGGCCACGTCCCACAGAGCTGGGGCCGGGATTTGGATACCCCTGGGTGGCCCAGCCCCACTCCTGACCTGAGCTATGTTGGCCTGCGAGGCCAGGCGGATCATGATGTCCAGTTTCTCCAGTTTGACGTAGATGGGGTCATTGTACTTGACAAAGAACACCTTCATCTCGTGCTTCAGGATCTCGGGCCTGGGGTCAGCAAGAGGCAGCGTTAGGGGGGACACGTGCTCACTTCCACCACAGTCCCAAGGTTTTGGGGGCCTACTCAATGCCAAGGAATCCCAGTCACTGTGATTATCCCCCAGGATTCTGTCCCTTGGCTCCCCTTTGCTGGCACATAGGGGACAGAGCACAGCTTTGTCACAAACACGGGCCAGACATGAGGCAACGGGGGACGTTTGTCCTGCCAGGGCTGGAAGGGACATTTTAGTGGGAGTAGGGACACAAATCCAGACCCCAGGGCTAGGATGGACCTTTCTCACCAGCTCACCCTCTCTCTAAGCTGGGAAAGAGCTAGGCCAGGTCCAGCTCCAAGCTGCCTTCCACATTCCCACTCCCAGGGACATTAATTGCTTTCCACTTCTCCCAGAAATTGCTGCTATTTTTAAGAGACGACCACGGCGCTGACTGGGAGGAGAACAAATCATCTGACTGGGCCGGGGCTCTCCAGCTGCCACTCCTGCTCCAGGCACACGTGTGGGGCCTTGGCCACCTCCTGCCCACCAGGATTTTAGATCAGCAAAGGGACAAAAGGACTCTGAGCACTTGTTCAAGGAGGACAACTGTGGAGAAAGCACCTGGCAGCACAAAAATCCCTCCCTATACATGGAGTGACTACTCCAAAGTGTCACAGCTTTTGGCTTTGCCATCCTTTGCTGTCCCAAATAAAGAATAAATTAAACTAAAGGATACATTAAACTGGAGATTCCAGGTTAGCTGCCTGCTCATTCCTTCACCTGACTGACTCAAGGCCAGGTTGGACAGGCCTTGGAGCAACCTGCTCTAGTGGAAGGCGTCCCATGACGGGGGGTGGGATGAGATGAGCTTTAAGATCCCTCCCAAACAAACCATTCCGTGACTCTCCTTGGATTTTAAATAACAGAGAAGAAAACACCCTACAGGATGTGTAGTGACAGAGGGACTGAAGCACCTGTGGCTAAGAGGGGCCACCTGGACACCCACCTTTTCTGCACAATGAGGTTGATGTTGCGGAGGGCCACGTACTGCAGCTCGGGCTCTGCAGAGAGCAGAGTGACCAGGGGTGGGGCCAGCTTCTTCAGGAGAGTGCCATAATAATCCAGGTCCTTGGACAGCATCTCCATGAACTTCATCAGCACCTTGACAGCTGACAGCACCACGGCAGAGTTGGCGTGGGACAGGCGTGGTGTCACACGCTCGCAGATGCTGCCGGGGTGAGGAGAGGGAAAGAAATTGATCCCAGCCCTTCCGCCTGCTGAAAAACTCCTGCCAGCATGGAGGAAGGAAAGCTGAGCAGCACTTAGGACCTTTCCAAAGAGGCTGAACTGGCTCCTGAATGCCCCAGTGAAGGTTATTCCCCAGGCCCTGCAGAATCCTCTGGCACTGACCCCGTTTCGGGGCTCCCCGGTGCCCATTGTCCTCTGCAGCCACATTCCAAGCAGCTCAAGGAGCACAATTCCAATGCCAGGGCTCACTACGGGACCAGGGCAGGCTCCAGATGGCCATGCCCAAGGCACAGGTCCAGCAGATGCCCGCTGTCCCACCTCCTGCAGCGGGGTCAGGAGGATGAAGACTCTCCTCAGAGGAGAAGGGGCAGTGCCAAGCCCTGCCTGTCCCCTCCCCTCTCCAGCCCAGTGTCCCCTCACCTCTGTGCTTCCCGGTCATCCTTGGGCATGTAGTTTGCCAGGCAGTCCAGGATGAAGATCTGGCCCCACTCAGTGCACTCGTTGAGGGCTGTGAGCAGCTTGTTGATGGACTGGGGGTTGAGGTCCAGGAGGTTGCTGCTGGGATGAGACTCTGCTATTTCCGACAGCGCCGCCACCGCATTGGCAACCACCTGCCAGGGGGGACAGGACACGGATTGGTGACACCAAATGTGGCACGAGGGGATGAGCTGCCTCCTCTCTATGAACTCCTCACATACCACCTACATCTGGGCTCCAGCTTCTCCCTCCCTGCAGCAGATCTGAGGGGGATGGATGAGCCATCCCCACCGGCATGCTCCCACCGCCCACGCAGCATCTCCAATGGCTCCCACATGTTCCATGGGACTCAGCCTTGGCTTGGTGCCCAGTTCCCTTCCCCAGGCAGCTCCAAGGAGCCCCAGAGCTTTCCACACAGCTCCTGGGCTCAACACTACAGCCAGGGTAAAACTGGAAAAGCAGGAAAGCTGTAGGAAGAAAAACCCTGGGGAAAGGTGGTTTTTAAATCCCCCATGCCTGGGGAAAAGGAAGGAAGCCAAAGCCCAGCTGCAGAAAAACCCGAGGCAAAAGCCACTGGCTCTGTAGCATCAGAACCAAGCACCGAGGCAGCTGGAGCAGCCTCGCTCCCACTGAGAACAGAGGAATAACACACTGCCAAGAGATGGGCAAAACCATGCAGGACACAAGGTTATAGGACAGGGAACACAGCCTGCAGTCCTGAGAAGCAAAAACTCCCCAAAAGTGATTTGTTAACACCAAAAAGAAAGTCTGAGAGGAATGGCGTTGGACGCGAACATGACAGGAGAGCGGTGACCGCCATTTGGATGACGAGGAGGTGGAGAAGGCAAAAAACCATCACCATGGGGTTGGAGTCTGAGATGAGATCCTTGAGGGTGTCCAGGAAGCCCTGGTCCTCCACCAGCTGGGCGTTGATGTCGTGCAGCTTGGCCACGCACACGGCGGCCGTCTTGCGCACGTAGGGGTCCTCGTCCTTGAGGCATTTCCGCAGGGGCTCGCACAGATATTCCGTGATCTTGTCCACACGGATGCAGCCCATGGTCCTCACAGCCAGGGCCCGGATCAGTGGGTTGGGGTCCTCACAGTCCTGCAGGGAGGATGAAAGTTTGACAAGGAAGTCTCACGGATATGTACGTGTAACAGAAAGGTTTTTGAATGTAGAATCTGAAGAAGGAATAGAAATGATAGCAAGTTTTGATATGGAAGAAAAGAATTGCTGAGCCAGTCTTACTGGATGACTAGAAAGCAAAGGGTAAGTGAGTTGGAAGGGGCTTTTATGACTCAGAGCAAAGGATAAATCCACCTCAAACAAAAGATGCTTTTACCAAGCAGAAAGACTTCACAAGCAAACAAAAATGCCATGTTGCAAGTAGAAAGGTCTCAAAATTTTCCACTACAAGAAAACTGAAAAACAACTTCTAAGCTAAACTGTAACATACTAACTTTTTGTGACTGGAAAATAGCAACATGAATACTGTAATGTTAGTAGTTATGATAGGCTATAGGTAATAGTAAAGGTATTGATTGGTTGTTATGTATTAAGATGCTCAGCAAAGAAAAGCATATAATGCATTGTAACCAGAACTAGAGTGAGCCTACAGCTGAAAAGCCTGTAAGATGAGCCTGTGGCTGAAAAGGCTGTGGGCAAGGCTCTTGTCACCCATGACCTGTAAATTGCTGTATCACCTGGATACAATAAACAGCATTTTAAAGAGCCAGTCTGGAGTTCTGCATCCCTGTTTCAGCTCTTACAGAGGAGAGGTTGGATATCCTGGGCTCCTCAGTCACAGATCTCTGGTGGGTTCAAATCCCAAAGTTTTTGTGTTCTGCTCTCAAGAATAAGTCACCCAAGAGAAGTTTCTCTCCTGTCCTGCACCCACTGAGTTCCAACAGCACCAATCCTCACTCCCAGAGCTCCTCAATCTATCCAGGAATCCCATGTCCTCATCACTTACACCAGGTACCTGAACCCAACCTGATGTTGGAAACACATACTGGGATTATTATGTGGGGTTTATCCTCCCTAAAAAGCCTGAACTCCCTCTAAAGCCCACCAGGCCTTTTAACTGAGTGATTTGGCAATATCCTGCTTCCTAACACGCTCTTCAGTTCCCAGCTCCAGCAAGAAGATCACGAGGGATTTCTCAGCACATAAATTCACATGACAGCTCTTGATCATGGGAGCTGCTCCCCCCCGACAGAGCATAAGACAGCTGCCAAAAACTGGGTTTCTGCATCATTGGACAAATTCAATCGGTTTTCTAGAGCTTGGAGAGCCCCTCCTCCAGAAGGGAGAGGTTTTGGAAAGCTGCCCACGCTCCCTGATTTGCAGCTTGGCACGGTGAACTGGCACGTGGTGGCCCTGGGACATGGAGCCCTGTCCCCTCACCTTCACAAAGGTGTTCACTGCCATGATGGCCATGTCTGGCTGGCTCTTGGCATAGTTCATCAGGTAGAGGTAGACCAGCTTCTTCAGCTCCAGGTTGTCTGTCTGCATGCAGTTCACCACGTCTGGGAAGAGAGCACTGGAACACAGAGAGCTCTGTGAAGGCAGGACACGGCCACGCTGCCCAGGGGATCCCCCTTCCCATGGATAACCTGCTCCTAAAGGCAGGAGAACCCAGCTCTGTCTTGGGGGAAAGGCTGGGAGAGCTGGGGGTGTTCACTTAGGGAAGAGAAGGCTCCAGGGAGAGCTCAGAGCCCCTGCCAGGGCCTAAAGGGGCTCCAGGAGAGCTGGAGAGGGACTGGGGACAAGGACCTGGCACTCCAGGACAAGGGAGAATGGCTTCCCACTGCCAGAGGGCAGGGATGGATGGGATATTGGGAAGGAATTGTTCCCTGGCAGGGTGGGCAGGCCCTGGCACAGGGTGCCCAGAGAAGCTGTGGCTGCCCCTGGATCCCTGGCAGTGTCCAAGGCCAGGTTGGATGGGGCTTGGAGCACCCCGGGACAGTGGAAGGTGTCCCTGCCCACAGTAGGGGGTTGGATTAGATGGACTGTAAGGATCCTTTCCCACCCAAACCATTCAATGATTCCATGATTCCATGACCTGAACCCACCCTGCAGCAGACATGGCTGAAATGCCCATCCCCAGTGGATTTTTTTTTACAGATCTGTACCAAAACCAGCCCTTGATGGACCAAAATTGAGCTTTCCCACTTGGAAAAGCATCCCTGCTCCAGGAGACTCCACATCCACTGCCCTGGGAGAAGGTGCTGGACAATTCTCTCAGGCACAGGGTGGGGTTGTTGGGCTGTCCTGTGCAGGGCCAGGAGCTGGACTGGATGACTCTTGTGGATCCCTTCCAACTCAGGATACTCCAGGGTTTTATGCATCATCACAGAATGGTGCCAAAAGGAAGAGCCCCACTCCCCTGGGTGAGCCCTGAGCACCAGGATACTCTGCTGGGATGGAGGGGAATCGAGTGCATCAGGTGCCTGCACAGAGCTGAGGCTTCCCCTTCCCAAACATCCTGGAGCTGTGGGATACCAGAGATGCTGCTCCATCCAAAGACAGACCAATTAGACAATTAAAGCACCTCAGGGGAGGAAATCAAGATCCCAGGGCTAACACAGGGCTTATTCCACCCTGACAGATGTCCCAAGGCTCCTGGAAGCTTCTCCACCTCCACAAACCCAGCCAGCCCTGACAGGATCAAACTCAGAGCCTCCCTAAATCCAGGGAACTGTGCTTTGCAAAGCTGCTGCCCACCTGGGCTGGTCTCACCCTGGGCTAAACCTGGCTTTGCTGGCACCTCCTGGGGAGCAGTGAACTCAGCAAACTGCTTCCCTGCAGCCTAAAACAGGCACACACCAAAAAGATGGGCTGACACAGCCACAGGATCATGGAATGGGTTGGGAATCATGACATCTTTAAGCTTATCAAGTTCTACCCCCTACTGTGGGCAGGGACACCTTTCACTGTCCCAGGCTCCTCCAAGCCCCAGCCTGGCCTTGGACACTGCCAGGGATCCAGGGACAGCCACAGCTGCTCTGGGCACCCTGTGCCAGGGCCTGCCCACCCTGCCAGGGAACAATTCCTTCCCAATATCCCATCTAAATAGCTTTTAGTTTAAAGCCATTCTGCTTTGGCATGTCACTATCTGTCCATGTAAAAAGCTGTTCTCGCTCTTTTTTTAAGCCCCTTCAAGTACTGGAAGCTCCTGACATTTCCATGTGATTTCCACAGTGGTCCCAAGATGGACACTCCCTGCTGCTGCTCTGGGAGCCAGGGATGCCCCAATTCTCCCAACTCTGAGTTTGCTTTCTCTCCATTTACTCTCAAATGCACCGTGAAAATCAAATTGCTGATGCTGCCTGTGCTGGGACAGGTCCATGCAGGAAAAGGCACAGAAGGAGCCATGTGCAGCTCAGCCAGATGGAAAAAGAGAAGCAGGAACAGCAGCTGCCTGACCTTGTGGACTGGAGAGGCTGCAAAGGGTTTATCAGCATCCAGGCACCACCACCAAACCTCAGGCACGAAGGCTCCGAGGGGGTCCTGCTTGTTTTTAGTAACACACAAAGGAAGTGGGAATAATCCCAACAAACTGATCTGGCAGCCAGACCAATCCTCTTTCAGCCAGATTACAACAAAAGCCAGGAGAGTCCCCACCTGCCAGGTGGCCACGTGGACACAAACTGCACTCCAGGAGGTAGAGCTGCAGCCAGGAGCTACCTGGGTGAATCCCGAGGGGTAAAGCAGCATGGAAACCCCCTTGGAAGCAAGAGGGGAAAAAGGGAACCCAAAAGCCATCTGGGTTTGGCTTGGGCACATGGGAGAACAGCATGAAGGAGAGGTTTAGGATAAATTTGAGGGAAAGGTTCTTTCTCCCAGAGGGTGCTGGGCACTGCCCAGGCTCCCCAGGGAATGGGCACGGCCCCGAGGCTGCCAGAGCTCCAGGAGCGTTTGGACAGCGCTGCCAGGGATGGACAGGCTGGGATTGTTGGGGTGGATCCATGATCCCTGTGGGTCCCTTCCCACTCAGGATATTCCATGATGCAGCCCCACACACCTGACATCCTTGCCTACAGTCATGGATGCAATCACTTTCTTCACAGCCTCCTTCTTCTTCTCCTTCTTGTCACTGTTCAGCTCAGCTTTCAGCTCAAATATCTCCCCTGCAAAAACGGGAAAAGTGGGAGCTCAGGGATTAGTGGAAGGGGTACCCCACCCCTCTGCTGGGTGAGCACAGCTCCCACCTGCTGTGTGACAGGATTCCTTTGCCACCCCTGAAAAGGGGGATTTAACTTCCCAAACACCTCACCAAGGGCTGGGGCTGTTCTGGGGGCTCAGCTCTTATCCATGGGAATGAAGAATCCCTGTGGCTCCTCCAGCCCCACGGGGATGGCAGATGCTGCAGGAGCCAGGAGCACCCCACAGGCACTAGTTGGGGTTATCCAGAGAGTATTTTTGGCTGTGGGATGGTTATCCCAGCCCCATGAGGCCCTACCCTTCTCCCAGGGATGACAGAGGATGGATTTTGGGCACTGCTCCTCAAGCCCATATGAGGAAGGGTGGCTCCCAAATCCCTCCTTGCCTGTGGCAGCGACCCCCCAGCCCAGGGCACCATCTCCTGCCCTCCTGAAGCCAGGCTGAGCTCTTTATTCTCTCCTGGGCTGGCAGATTGAAGAGGAAGATGCCACATGGCTTCTCTCCACATTAATTCCTTGGTCTGGAGAGTGCTTAAGGCCCCGAGCGCTGCCCAGGGGAGCTCCTGAGCTCCTAAAGCCGATCACCAGCTGCCACCAGCCCTGGCCAGGCTCAGGGGGCTGGGGACAAGGTGTCCTGACCCCACAGCAGCCCAGGAGCTGCTCCAGAGCAAGGAGCAGGGTGGGCTGGCAGCCACAGCATTCCACAAGGACTCAGGGCGTTACCACAGGAGCTTCCCAAGCCTCCCCAGCTGGTTTATAAGGTGTAAGAACCAGCTGGTGATTTTGGGATGAATGGTGATGCTCCTGCTCCTTCCCTTACCTTTCTTAGTGGTGGTGAAGTACTTGGAGTCCGTCATGGTGGTCTCCAGCCAGCAGCACGGCCCTGCAGGAGAGGCAGTGCACAGAGGATCAGAGTTGATAATTTCCTTACAGGGATTGTTATGGAGAGCTCCGGGAAGGAAAAAATACAGGGGAGGGAAAGAGTTTGGGATCTCTGGGAAGAGTCACAAGGAGAAGCCCAATCCCTAAGGGAGGGTGAGCACCTTGCAGCTCTGTGATGATGGGGAATCAGATGGTTCTCAAAGAGGATGTGGAGGAGGAAGGGAATCACTGAAGAGTCCAGGGCTGCAGCCCTGGCTTTGCTCATCCCATCCCACACAGAGCTGGGCAGCAGCGGCTCAGTGATCCCCCCTGGACTCACCTCTCCTCATCCAAAAAATGCTTTCTTAAGGAAAGCTCACGCTCAGCCCTCCCTCACAGGAGGGACACAGGGAACTGAGCCAAACCTGAGGCTCAGCTCAATGGGACAGCCAAGGGGCACAGATCTGCCAGATCAAAGGGAGCCTCTTCCACAAACCAGCCCTGCTCCAGCAGGGTTGCTTTAAATTCCAAGGGTGCAAGGTGTCCGCCCAGCACTTGAGGCTCCATTACATAATTCAGGCAGTTTAGAGCAGATTTAGGGCTTGGTAGGCTGAGGAAGGAGACGTGCAGCCCTTTGGAAAGGTCAGCAGGGATTTAGCTTTTATGGCTGGTTTTCCTATCTTTCCTTCAACAGGGAAGGAACCAGAGGCTTGTCCTTGAAAGCCTGCAGTGGCCTTGCTATTTTGGAGGGGCAGGAATATGGGAAGCAAAGCCAAGTGGAAAAAAAAGAGATTAAAAAAAAGAGCTTGCGGATGGGTTTAAAATGCAAATGAGCATCTTGAAAGCCAAACGCAGCAGGAGCACAGAACTGTGTCCTCTGTTCCCTGTCCAAGCTGGGGAGGGATCCCCAGCGGGGATGAAAAGAAAATCTGGATGAAATCTGGGGGTTGAGCACACTGGGCAGAGCACACAGCTCGGCAGGGAGGAAGAGGGAAGGTGTTTGCATGGGTTTGGGGCTGCTCTGGGGGCAGCACGATCCTGGTGTTATTCCAGAGGGGGGAAGCCTGTCACCACACTCCCACAGCCCTGCCCCTCGTGACACAGGACACTCCTCCGTGCCTCAGTTACCTGGGATTGATTCAGAGCCTTTTTTATCCCACTAAGTCGATTGCTCTCCAGGGAACAGCGGGAGCTCCGGGCTGCGCTGCAGCTCTCTGCACCTCACTGCAGATCCCGTCCTGCCAGACAGGGAGGAAGGAAGGGAGGAAGGAAGGAAAGCAAGAGGATTCACTGCAGTCCCTCCGATTCCAGGACCTGGCTCACACTCAGCCCTGCTCAGCAGAAGTGCCTGGAAAGCAAACTTGAAGCTGAGCAGGGAATATCTGCAGGCAGCTCGGAGACATGAATCACACCGGCTGCTTCCCTGCAGCTTCAGCTCTCCCAGAGCCAGGGAAAGCACAGCCTGTGGTTTTCCCATCCACAACCCCACCAGTGTGTGCTTCAGCCCCTCAAGACCCCACTGATTTCAGAGGCTGAGACATTACCCATTCCCCCCACTCCTTCAAGCCCTGCAGCAACTCCAAGAAGGAAAGTGGCTCCTCCAGCTTGGGAATGAAGGCGCACCCCTCGCTCCTCAGATCCACACAACCTTCCCAGCAGGAGCACCCCAGGGCCTGGAGCAGGGTGATGAGGGGATACAAACATTGCCAAACCCCAGTGCTCAGCACCCTGCAGCCTGTGTGTCCCCCAGGCTGTGCCAGGGTGACAGGGCAGGGCTGGCTGCCAGCCCAGGACACACAGGTGAATTCCCAGAGCTCAGCCCTTGGGCAGGGGCCAGCGCTGCTGCCTGGCTCTGGTTTTAAGGATGCAATTGTGTGGTGCAGAGCCGGGAGCTGAGAGAAGGTGTTTGTTCCCTCAGCTCCAGCAATTCCCAGCTCCTTTTCATGCTGATCTCCCAGTGAGAAGCTGAGTGGGGCAGCTCCTCACTCACAAAAAGCAACAAAACAATGCAAGCAACAAAACGAAGGCTACTGAGCACCCCTGACCTTGTGGTGGCTCAGATTTTACCCCACCTTCACACCAAACTTGTTTTAAGCTGGTCTGGCAAACAGGATTCAAGGAGTTAAGTGTCAGTAAGGATCTGGAAACTGCTGGAGGGGAGCACCCAGAGCTCCCCCACACCCAGTTTGGGCTCCTCAGGTCTGGTTTTGGGACCGGTTTTGCAGTGGCACAAACCCAAAGCCTTTTATCCCTGATTTTATTCACTCCAGGGGACTAAATTCCATAGCTCCACACAAACCAGAGCAATGCTGCTCTCCTGAGCATCCTAAGCCCCAGGTCAGGGACATGGCAGAGCTCAGCCACTCCATTTTACCCATTGCCATGCCAGCTCCCAGATTCAGCTATCCTGGGAAAGTAAAAGGCTCTTAAACCCAAAATAGAACAACAAACACTTCACTGGGCTTCCCACCGAGGTGGGTGCTGCCAGTGGAGTCCTGGGAATGACACCAATGTCAAATGAGCCACTGCTGGTGCTGCTCATTTCCTCTTATGGAGAGTGGAGGAAAACTCATTTCTTCTGCTACTTTTATTACCCCGTTTTAGGATAATTCCTCCATCCTTGAAGGCTGAGTTGCTGCTGACCAGAGACTTTCACTATGGAATGGTTTGGGTGAGAAGGGACCTTAAAGGCCACCCAGTGTCACCCCTGCCACAGGCAGGGACACCTTCCACTGTCCCAGGCTGCTCCAAGCCCCAATGTCCAACCTGGCCTTGGACACTGCCAGAGATCCAGGGGCAGCCACAGCTGCTCTGGGAATTCCATCCCAGCCCCTCTCCACCCTCCCAGGGAACAATTCCTTCCCAATATCCCATCCAGCCCTGCCCTCTGGCAGTGGAAGCCATTCCCTGTGTCCTGTCCCTCCATCCCTTGTCCCCAGTCCCTCTCCAGCTCTCCTNCTCCATCCCTTGTCCCCAGTCCCTCTCCAGCTCTCCTGGAGCCCCTTTAGGCCCTGGCAGGGGCTCTGAGCTCTCCCTGGATCCTTCTCCTCTCCAGGTGAGCACCCCCAGCTCTCCCAGCCTGGCTCCAGAGCAGAGGGGCTCCAGCCCTTGGAGTATCTTTGTGGCCTCCTCTGGACTCACTTTCAGCTTCCACCAACACAGACCCACTGCCAGGGCGGGGATACAACCCTTAACCTGTGCCCAAGACATCCCAAATCCCTGCTTATCCCAGCCCACCACAGCTCCCAGACCCTCTGACAGCTCAGCCCAGGAGTTCTCTGGCTGCCAGAGTTCTGATCTGCCCAGCCTGACAGGTCTCAGGAAGGAAGAAGGGAGCAAAGGCAGAAGGTTCATCCCTGCACACACTTCCTGCTGTTCAAGGGGGACAGGCTCCAGGGAGAGGACAAAGGAGAAAGAACTCAAAAGGGTAAGCACCTAGGAAAGGGCTCACCTGGAAAACAGAGGGGCAGCTGGAGGTTAGTGGGGAAAGGCAACTCCCACAAGCAAACACCTCAGCTGGAAACGAAGCACTTGAGGGCCAAGGTGGCATAATTAGGGAAATTAGGGAAGACTCTAAAAAATTAATGGGTAACTGGAGCCGTAGGGAATCACATAACTGTTCCCTGCTGGTGTGAGGCAGCTCCAGGGCACTACAGAGGCCAGGCAGAAGTGAAGTGGGGATGGCTTCCACAGCTCCTGCCCTAGGGACAAAGCCCAGGAGCTGCCACAAGCACCAGTGAAGGGACAGGAACATGCCAGGGTGGAGAGGAGAACCAGAGGCTGAGGATACACAAGCCAGCAGCTAAAGAGACTTGTGCTGGCCCCAGTTCTTTCCCTCCTTACTCACATAGTGATTCCCATCCTACAGCCATGGGCACAGCTCTCATCCTTGTGCTCATCCCACCTCTGCCAGGCCAAACAAACCTCCAGGGGCTCACACCAGCCCCACACACATTCCCAATAAGAGATTTTTCCTCCATCTGGCCTAACTGGAGCTAGTCCTTGCTCCAATGCAGCCCTACAGCAGCCCAGGGCTGTGATTCCACTGCATCCCAACCAGGACCATCCACATCCTCTCACAAATCTGTTACTGACCAATCCATGGCCATTCCAAAAGGCTCCATCTCCATCAAACAAGGGGCCCCTTGGATAACTCAAGGGTAGGAGCCACACTCACTATGCCATCAGCAAGGTGTCCAAAATCGTGGCAGATCCAAAGCTGTAGCACCAGCAAATGAGCTGCAACCAATACATCACATCAACCAATAACTGGGGAATAAACTCAAGGAAAAAGGACAATCCTGAGGTGTCCCCTGCAGCACACACTGCCAGGATCCCACTGCCACAGAACCCAAGGCACCATGGTCTGAGAGCTGGGAGGGTTTTAATCACCTTAAACAGAGATAACAGAGCACCCACAGAGACTCCCCCCAAACTCCAGCTGAGCAGCCTCAGGGACACCAAGGACCCTGTTCTGATACAGCATCCATGGCAGAAGGGATGTTCTCCTCCGGGGAGAACCAGGTTCTACAAGGTGGACACTTCCTGCCATGGAATTCCCAGCCTGGCTTGATCCAAGCAAGGCCCAGCACCTCTGGAAAGCCCCTTGGAGTCCCAAAGCCTGTTCAGCCTGGCAGTCTGACCCCACAAATGGATATGGAAGCCACAAACCACATCATTCCAACTGCTCGTCCAAGGCTTAGCCCATTTTATGTCACCCCAGGAGAGAGCAGACACAAAACCCCACCTGAACCCCCAGTGCTGCTGAGGATGGGACCCCTGACAGGTGTTAGAATTCTGGGAAACTCCACACAAAACACCTGCAAAAACAACAGCAACACTGCTCCTTCAGGGTGGAGCAGTCTCACAGCTCCTTTTTAATCCAGTCTGGGGCTTTTCCCCCTAAAATCTCCACGGAGGGGGCAGTGAGCACAGGATATCACCCCAGCTGCTTCCCTGTCTACTCCATGCCCAGTTCACAGCTTACTCCATGCAGAGCCAAGACCTTTCCCTAGGGATGTGCCATGCTCTGAGGAGGGTGAAGGGGTCACCCCATGTCCCCCAGGCCCTCCAGAGGATCCCACCCCCAGTGCAGTGCCCGTCGGGGCTCTGGCTGTGGCCAGAACACGGTGCCCGGGGTGCTGGGGAGGGGAGCAGATCCCGGGGCGATCCCTCCGGGATGGATCCGGGAGGGGACACGGAGCTCCGCGGGGACAGGCGGGACACGGCTCTGGGCCGGGGGAGGCTGCGGGGTGCGGGGATACCCGTGAGCCCCAGCCGCGCTGGGAAGGGGACACAGCCCGAACTGAGGAGGGGAGGATGGGGACACAGCCCGGGGATACAGCCCGGGCCCGGGGCGAGGCGGAGGCCGGGTCAGGGGTCACGGTGGGGACACAGCCGGTGCCAGAGGGGCAGAGAGGAGACACAGCTCCGGTCGGGGGGCGGGAGGGCCCCGGGCTCAGAAGGACGCGGCGCTGCCCGAACCCCGGCGGGGGGCCCGTCCCAGGTGCGGGGGGCCCGTCCCAGGTGCGGGGGCCCGTCCCAGGCGCGCACGGGCGGAGCTCGGGGAAGGCGCCCGGGGCAGGAGCAGCTGCGGGTCCCGGCTCAGACCCCGGCCCGGCCCGGTCTGTCCCTGCCCGGCCCGGTCCGTACCTGCCGCCGCCGCCGCCGCCACCGGAACTGAGGAACGGGGAGCGCTTCCGGGGCGGGGCGGGGTCTCCGTGGGGGCGGGGCGATGGGCGGGGCCACGACGGGAGGGGCGGGGCTGGGAACGAGAGCGGGACGGGAGCGGGACCGGGAGAGGGAATGGGGCCGGGGATGGGGATAGGGACAGGGAATGGGGGACACGGGATGGGGCAGGGAAAGGGTTAGGAGAAAGGAATAGGGAATCGGGACAGGGAATGGCGACGGGGATGGGAATAGGGACAGGGAGAAGGACAGGGGATGGGGATGGGGACATGGGATGGGGACAGGGATAGGGATGGGTACAAGGATAGGGATGGGGCATGGACAGGGATGGGGACAAGGATAGGGATGGGCAAGGAGATGGGGACAGGGGATAAATAGGGGCATGGTATGCGGACAGGGAATAGGGACAGGGAATGGGGACTGGGATGGGGATAAAGACAGGGAGAAGGACGGGATAGGGGCATGGGATGGGGACAAGAACAAGGAGAAGGAGAGAGGATAGGGACATGGGATGAGGACAGGGATAGGGATGGGAAAGAGGATAGGGACAGGGGATAGGGTCATGGTATGGGGACAGGGAATGGTGAGAGAGAATGGGGACATGGGATGAGGACACAGGATAGGGACAGCGACAGGGATGAGGCAAAGGACAGAGACGGGGATGGAGACATGGGGTGGGAACATGGGATGGAGCAGAGATATATGGGGACGGGGGACACCCCAGGAATTGGGATGGAAACGGGGGGAAAGGGCTTGGAGACAGAGGAGAGGACAAGGTTTGGAACAGAGGTCACAGGGTGTGGGGGACAGGGTCACACCCTCCATAGGCTGTGTCCCCCTTTCTCGGCTGGCTGTCTCCACTCCTGTAGGGTGGGAAGGACCCTCTGGGGCATCGCCCGTCCCCCACCCCATGGGAAATGCTCCGGAGAGGGTCACCGGGGGTGGCCAGCGGTAGCAGGGGGGCACGGAGCTGCTCAGGAGTGGCCAGTGCCCGCTGTCCCCGTGTCCCCAGCACTTCCCAAGGATGTGTCAGCAGCGACCTGGCCGAGGTTGGGGGTGCTCAGCGTCCCTCTCCCCCCTGGTGCTCCCGGAGCTGCTTCCATGACTTCTGTGGGATGAAGGACGGGGTGGGACCCTGTTCCCACACGGGACAGCTGTGAGGGACAGAAGGAACACCATGGCTGCTCCTGGGATCTATGGACCCGTGTGCTGATTGGCTGGAGGGGATGTCTATGCACCGGCCTGATGATTGGCTGTTGATTGGCTGCAGCAATGTCAATCGATCTGGTTGCGGATTGGCTGAGGTTTAGAGATCTGTGCGTTGATTGGCTGCGATCTCTGGACCTGGCTGCTGATTGGCTAAGCTGTCAGTACCTGCCCACATGTTGCGCTCTGTATATGCTGATTGGCTGGGAAGTAGCTGTGCTGATTGGCTGTGTGGTCTGTGATTTCTGATTGGCTATTGGTGCATATGGGCTGACTGGCCAGGCTGTCTGTGAGCACTGATTGGCTGGATGGCACCTGAGCACTGATTGGCTGGATGGTACCCAAGTGCTGATTGGTCGGATGGTACCGAGTGCTGATTGGCTGGGTGGCCTGGGCATGCCCAGGTCCCAAGGGCAGGTTTGGGGGGGGTCACATGTCCCCACCCCATCCCTGTCTCCATCCCCATCCCTATTCCAGCCGGGATGGCAGACCTGGCCCTGCCCTCTCCTCCGTGTCTGGACCCCCCCAGCATCCCCCAGGGGTGTCCCCTGCCCCCCAGGAACCTTCCTGGCACCCACCTCCCCCAGCCTCAATCAGTGCCTGGCTGCGGGGGGACATGAAGTGAGGGCCCCGCCCCAGGGTCGCTGTCCTGGCATCCCACCCTTGGAGGGGGTGTCTGTGGCACCCGAGGGTCTCCCCTTTCTCCTTCACACCGGAGTGGGGACCTGCTCTTCACTGGGTGGTCCCAACTCTTTTTCCAGTGTCCCATTCTCTATTCTTGGGGATCCCAGGTGTTCCTCTCTCTGCCCAGGGGATTCACGGTCATATCAGGGGGCTCCCCACTCCCTCTCAGTCACTGTCCTCAGGGGTCCCACCTCCCTTTCTGAAGGTTTCATCCTCTATTCCTCTTGTCCCTCTCTCTGCTCGGAGGGTCCATACTCACTTCAGGGGCTCTCCACTTCCCACGGGGTCCTCCCTCTGTCCTGGGGTGTCCCTGCTCCCTTCCCGGGGCTCCCATTCTCTGTTCCCAGAGGTGCTGCTCCCTGCCCGGGGAATGTGTTCTCTCTTGAAGAGCACTCTCCTCCCTTCCCGGGGGTCCCACTCTCTATTCCCGGGGGTCCATGCTCCCCTCGGGAGATTTCCACCCCCTTCCCGGTGGTCCTATTTTCTCCTCCCGGTATCCCGCTGTGCCTCGGAGTCCCGTTCTCCTGGCAGGGGGAATCCGCTCCTTTCTGGTGCGGCTCCTGCTCCTCACCTGGGCGTGGCACCGAGGTCCCCCCACCCGCGGGGCTGCGGCGCGGGGCGGTGCCGGTGCCGGTGCCCGTGCCCACCCCTGCTGCCGGTGGCGGGGCGGAGCGGCCGCCCCGAGCGCTATAAAGCGGGCGGCCGCGCCGCTGCCGCAGCGAGGGCGGGGGTCGCCATGAGCCTGATGCTGGAGACGCTGCTGGGCCCCCCAGGGGGGCTCCGCAAGGAGCCGGGCCGCGCTCCCCCGCGCTCCGCTGCCTCCAGCGGCTTCTACTCGTGGCCAGCCCCGGTGGTCGGACGGGCGCGGGGCGCGGGGGGCGGCGGCGGCAGCGCGGCCGCATCCTCCACCGAGAGCCTGGACTCGCTGAACGGCGAACCGCGGGCGCGCAATGAGAAGGAGCTGCTGCAGGTGCTGAACGACCGCTTCGCCGGCTACATCGAGCGGGTGCGGGCGCTGGAGCAGCAGAACCGGGCGCTGGCGGCCGAGGCGGCGGCGCTGCGGCAGCAGCAGGCGGGGCGCTCGGCCATGGGCGAGCTGTACGCGCGGGAGCTGCGGGACATGCGGGGCACCGTGCTGCGCCTGGGCGCCGAGAAGGGGCAGCTGCGGCTGGAGCGGGCGCGCCTGGCCGAGGACGTGGCGGCCCTGCGGGGAAGGCTGGAGGACGAGGCTCGGCAGCGCTCGGAGCTGGAGGCTGCGGCCCGCGGGCTGGCGCAGCGCTCGGCGCAGGAGGAGCGGGCGCGGGCGCCGCTGGAGGAGCGAGCCCGGGCGCTGCGGGAGGAGGCGGAGCAGCTGCGGAGGCAGCACCGAGCCGAGGTGGGCGCGCTGCTGCGCGGGGCGCGCCCCGAGCTGCCCGTGGAGCCCCCCGCGTCCCTGCGCCCCGGCGTCACCGCCGCGCTCCGCGACCTGCGCGCACAGCTGGAGGGCACGGCGGCCCGCAGCACCCTGCAGGCCGAGGAGTGGTTCCGCGGTGAGTGTGAGGGTGTGGCCGCCAAACGAGCCGGCCGCATCCCCGTAACTCCCTGGGGACACCCTGGGCTGCTGCGCTCTGGGAGGGGGCTGGAGAAAAGAGAGCGAGGGTGTCCCGAGGGATGCGGGAACCCCTCGCTCTCTATATGGTGTGAGGGTGACCCCACCCTGCGAGGTGCAGAGACCCCTCCCACCTCTACTGTACTTCTGGAGCGTGTTGGGATACCCTAGGAGGTGCAGGGACCCCCCATATATATATATATAGGTATATAGGTGTCACCCCACCCTAGGAGCGTGTAGAGACCTCCCATATACCCAGCGCCATGGGAAGGCTTCAGGGTGACCCCCATCCCTGCCACCAGACCTCCAGTGCCTTCGGGTGCGCTTCCCGAACCCCCCTCTGCCCCGCAGTGAGTTTCGAGGAGGGCTCCAGGATCACTGGCCCGGCACCCCGCAAGTTTTTGGGGTGCCGGACCCCCCCCCGATGCTGCAGGGCGTTGTGCTGGTCGCTCTCAGCTGGGGCGAAGCCTGGAGTGTTTGCAGTGCTGGGGGGAGGGGGGCGGGACCGCATCCCTGACGCGGGGGGGGAGGACAGGGAGTGGCCCTTCTTGGGGGGACATTACGGTCCGAGGGAGGCGCGGGGTGGGGTCGGCACCCCGGACTGAGCCCCCCGGGCGTGCAGGGCGGGTCCAGCACCGCGGACAGCGGCGGTTCAGAACCGCGGGCAGCGGCAGAGCCGACCCCGGGGCGCCCATCCCGCGGGGCTGGGGCTGCCCCGGGAGCCGCAGGATCGCTGTTCCCCATTCCTGTCCCCTCGTTCTGTGCCCCCCCTCGTCCCCTGGGGTGTCCGCAGGGCGCTGCGGCAAAACCCCCCCCGCCTTGGGGCAGGGTTGGCGGGATGCGGCGGGAGGGGCAGCGCCGTGGGGCAGCGCCACAGCTGAAGGAGAGGCGGGGGCTGCAGCGAGGATCTGCACTGGGTGAAGGCCAGGATGGCAGAAACAGCCCCGAGCTCGTCTTGCCCGTCCTCCTTCACTTCCCGGCAGAGATGGAGCGAGGGGTGGGAAAGGCAGCCTGGGGTGGCTCTGCAGAGGACAGCGATGTGTGGCATGGGCAGGTTTGAGTTTCCCCAAGGAGGGGAGGCTGCAGCCTCCTTCCCTCCTGCCCTGCAGCTTCCTTTTTCCATTGCAGTGAGGCTGGACAAGCTCTCGGAGGTGGCCAAGGTGAACACGGACGCCATGCGCTTGGCCCAGGAGGAGATCTCCGAGTACCGCCGGCAGCTCCAGGCCAAGACCACCGAGCTGGAAGCCCTCAAAGGGACCCAGGAGTCGCTGGAGAGGCAGAGGCAGGACTCGGAGGAGCGCCATCATGCAGATGTCCTGTCCTACCAGGTACTGTGGCGCAGTGGGCAGCGGCCCAGGCTGGGGAGGGACCATCCAGCTGCTGGGGAGGAGCAGCACTGGGATTTTGGCTTCAGTGATGTGGAGGAGTTGTGGCAAATGTTTGGGGCTGTGTCAGAACTGGCCTTCCCCAGCCCACAGAGATCAGGAACCCAAAGCCTGAGGTGGTGTCCGGGCTGTTGTGTCCCTCAGCACCCCTGGAGCTGCCCCATGGCTCTGCTTGCCCCTGAGCTGCCTGTGAGGGTGGTCACAAACACTATGGAAGTGTGTCCAGGGTTTGGGCCACATCCTGTCCCCCTGATCTGGGCAGCGAGGGCTGCCTTGGTGGCTTTGGAATGAAGTGCTGTCCCCAGGGTAGTGCCCCATCAGTCTCCAGCTGGAGTTCAGTTGCCGTTGGACTTACCCAAGTTCTAGAAGCATTCCCGCAGCTTATCCCTGCTGGAGGGAGTGCTGGGAGCTGACCAGGGGCTCAGCTGGAGTGCAGCTTCTTGCTCAGGGCGTGCAGGCTCCTGCCAGGGCCCCCAAGGCAACTGGAGACCCTGGAACCAGCCCTGGCTGTGTCCCCTTCCCTGTGTATCTGCAGGAGGAGGTGGCTGCAGACTGCTCTGTGAGGACACCCTGGTGCTGGAGAACAGGGGACAGTTTAGGGATGCTTTTGTGTCTCCCTGCTCTTGGGGACTGTGCCATGTGTCCCCCCCCCCATTATTGCTGTCTGCTGACAGGAAACCATCCAGCAGCTTGACAGCGAGTTGAGAAACACCAAGTGGGAGATGGCAGCTCAGCTCCGGGAGTACCAGGATCTGCTCAATGTCAAAATGGCCCTGGACATCGAAATTGCTGCCTACAGGTACAGGGAGAGCAGGGGAAGGTGTGGGGGGGTCTCAGCCAGGTCTGCTCAAGGTCCCTTGTTAGCACCTGGGCTCTTTTTGGTGAGCAAATCATCCATCCTCCAAAGCCACAGTGGGCAATGTCCAACTGGGCGACCCAGTGGTGTCTGGAGGGAAGGGCAAGCAAACCTGCTCATCCCAGGAGCAGGAGGATCATCCAGGATGGGGCAGGGAGGGAGATGGAGCTGCAGGACATTGCTGGCAGCTCCTGGTGGTGGGAGGAGATGAAAATCCATCACTGAGTGATGCTCTGGTCTCTCCCTGGCAGAAAGCTCCTGGAAGGGGAGGAATATCGGCTCGAGACTGGCATTGGGATGCTCTCCTACCCCGAGGTGGTCCCCAAGCCTCCCAGCATTGCCACCAGCATCAAGGTGAAGAGTGAGGAGAAGATCAAGGTGGTGGAAAAATCAGAGAAGGAGACAGTGATTGTGGAGGAGCAGACAGAGGAAATCCAGGTGACCGAGGAGGTCACAGAGGAGGAGGAGGCTGAGAAAGAAACTGAAGAGGAAAAAGCTGAAGAGAAGGAGGAAGAGGGGGAGGAAGAAGAAGAGGAGAAAGCTGAAGAAGAGGGTGAAGAAAAGGCCAAGTCTCCTGCAAAGGAGGAGGCCAAGTCCCCAGAGAAACCTGAGTCACCCTCAAAGGAAGAGGCCAAGACCCCAGAGAAACCAGAGTCCCCCTCCAAAGAGGAGGCCAAGACCCCAGCAGTCAAGTCCCCTGAAAAGCCACCAAGCCCCTCAAAGGAGGGAGCCAAGACCCCAGTTGTGAAATCTCCAGAAAAACCTGCAACGCCCTCAAAGGAGGAGGCCAAGACTCCAGCTGTCAAATCCCCTGAAAAGCCACCAACACCCTCCAAAGAGGAGGCCAAGACCCCAACAGTGAA